CAATATTTTGTAGGCCTCAATGTAATTTAAGCTGGTTTACTTGAATGCGCATTTAGATTCCAGTGCTATATTTCTATTGAATGGCTATTGAAGAACGCTCCTTGAAAAACTATCAAACTGAATATGGATTAGAATGATAGAGGCAATAGTCAATGACATTAATAAAATTGTATGAAGTGTGTATGAACTTTTCACCATCAGGGATTATAGACTAATTACCTCCTTCATTACTTTGCTATGCCAGAATTCTTATCCAATTTATCATTGTATATGGGATTGGAGCTATTAAAGTGGGAATAGGGCATGAAGCAATAGTCTTGCATCAAGACCATATTCTCAGCTCTTCTCTTGTACTCATCCTGAAGGGGAGGTACAGGGTCTTAATACAAGACTAATGAAGCAATTTTGTGGAATTTGATAAGCTTTTTTGCTTTTATAATATATTTTGTGAGAAAATTACAAAAAATTATAAAAACTGCATTTGGAGAATTAGCTGTTTTAAATGCAAAAGAGTAGTTGATATTTTCATAAAAAATCTAGATTTGTGGTTTGTCATTGTGAAACTAGAATATGAATGATGTTATGTATATAACATGGCATGATTTGCGGTTTGATGTTTAACAAATGCACTTATGTGACAGTAATTCAATCTCAGAAAGATCAAAGACTAGAATATTCAATTGCGTATAAGGTTATTGTGCCACTTGGTACAAAATGATCATTCCTCTCAATAGACCCAAATGTTATAACTAAAACAAAAATTAAACAATACTTAACAATTAATTGAAGTCACTGAATACATCTCATCTCTTTAATATTTTCGAAAGTGGGTGCTGCCCACTCAAAAACCTATTTACACTCATGAAAAAAAAAAAAAAAAAAAATATTTTGGAATATTTTAATTAATTTTGATCTGAATTTTGCATTAGTCTATGATATGTATGACAGATTCCAATATTTTTTTTGAAAGCGCCTATTTCTCAAATCCATTCTTTAAATTGAAGTTGAATGATGAAAATGATGATGTATGATGCGTTGAAGGTTTAAAATGTTCGAAATGGTCTGACATGACATACTTTCTTGTTTTTTAACCAGTGAAAAGTAATCAATAAAAGTATGTATTTCCTTTGATGAAAGTCATAAGTCAGACAGTAATCAAATAAAGGATGAGTAAAATTATCTCTCAAATATTTAGCTTAAGGATTATAGAAATAGTTGGGGATAAATTAACTAATACATTGTAACTTCCTTGTATTCACATGTAGAATAGAAGGGGCATTCATTAAAAGTATATCTAGAGAATAGTGTATATGTTTAGGTTTTTTCATACCCTGGAACCCTGATAATACATGTATTAGTGAACTTATACCCTCTGAGAATCTAGAATGATATTGCAGTCCTGATACCGAAAGGCTAGATCAATGAATCTTTTAGAGGTACGAAGTCAACCTTTTGATAAAGGGTACATATTCTGGCAGATAGGCGGTTGGTTATCCTACCTACCTACCTACACACTGTATCTAAATGGTTTATTAATGAAACATTCCTGGCTTCATTGATGGAGGCAAATGATCTCAAGTTATAAATATAATTCATCTGAATGTAAATGTGAAATGTCTAGCCTTGATAAGTAGAATATTAATACTATATGATATTATATAATGTAAATGATTTGTCTATGAGGTAAGTGCAGTGATTTTTGGTTTATTTTTATCTAAAATATTCATGAAATGATTTAATGATTAGTTACACAATTGTCTTAAATTAAAAAAAATTGTGCATATGGATTTATAAATGTGTATTCAATATGTGTTTAACATATTATTTAAATGACATAATGAATGAACATTCCATTCAACTTGTAACAAAATATGGATTACATTAAAACTTTAATAGATATTCTAACATCTGTTACCTAAAAACCTGATGTTTTGAAATGCCTGCCAACGTTTGACATTAAATCACACAGTTTAAGTTCAAAATAAAAGCACTGTAACCTCATATATTAGATATGATTTATCTGTCCCTCATAACAGCTCATCTTCTCATGAAGTTTGTGAATTATTATGTGAACTTTAAACCTGATGCAAAACTACATGTATGTGTGTTTAAGATATACCATTTTTGTACCTATCTATCTGATCCTCTCTGTAAACTTCATCTTCATTCACTCAGCTCCTGTCGTTCCATCTGAAGGCAGTTTATCATTGATGCAGAATTAGAATTAGTAGTAGTAGTTGAGAATAAATGGGTTTAGGAACATCATATTATTTAAGAAGCGTGCAAAAGATGGAGCAGCAGTTGTATCATTAGCGGAACAGATTTCTTGGTTCTCTTCATGGTTTTGTCTGAAGAAGCTATATAGAAAAGAAGTTGAAAGCACAGTAGGTGGTTTTCAGTGAAGTTATCTAAGAAGATAGCTGGTTATGTGCTTTACTGCTTTCATACAGCCAGTCTTTGTTCAATATACTCCTACAACATATAAGTAGCTAGGAATGTTGGATTTTTAGGGGTGTCACTTTAAATGTTATTCATGATGAGAGAGATACACATGATATAATATCATTGATTAGATGATTCAGGGTTTTGATTTTTAATTGATTGACAACATATATAAATCCAATGTAGTTATAGGGCTAAGAGGAAAATGACATATTTGAAGGATTCCATAGGTAGATAAGGCATCTGCTCAAGCATACATACCTTGAGATCATAGTCTCTACATAGATATCTGTCTTAGATTTGAGAGCACAGAAATTGTGAGGATTGGAGTTTTACCTGAGATGGGAGATGAGGAATATGTGTAGTCTACTCTTTAGGTCCAGTAGTTAAATGTTCAGCTTAGTGTATCATAGTCTGGAGTTGGTTTATGAGGTAGACCACACAAAATCAGTACTGTAAAACATTAATGATAATTCATGCATAGAATTTTCACAAATTTTGGATTCATGTAATTGATGAAATTACTATTTCACAATTTTGTCATATGATTCAATCATTATCATATTTAAACTCAGTTCAATGAATCTTTTAACAAAGAAGAAGCAAAATATAAGCGAAATTTACAGTATATCCTATGAGAGTACCTACTAAAGTTGGCTAAATATATACCTCTATAGGCTTGAATAGGAGGATGTAATACAGCGGCAGATTGGAGAGTCATCGTGATCAGGGCAACAACATCCATAGCAATAGATATACCAAGCAAGAGATTGCTAAGATTTGTGAGGTTTACATGTGGTTTTAGGTGCGTCTGAGGTTGAAAGGATTATGGCACTTGAGGATATTTGCTAGGAAAATGAAAATGATTTAAATGTAATAGACGCTTGAGGAAGTACAGAATTTCAGTTTTAAAAAGATTATTGTTACCATGAAAAGGGACATGATATTTTGCTCAGCTTTTGTGAATAAGTATCAATAAGATCAGAAAGATACATAAAAGGGATATTAGAAAAAAAGTTAAAATGGATGGTCCAGTGCTAAGAATTGCTGGTAAGTAAATATGAACTTTAGTTTGATTGTTCATTTTTTAATACATGGTAAGTGAAGGTAAGTGTGATTAATACGGTAAGTAAGGCAAGGCTATGGCTCCATTATGAGGTGTATGTCTAATTATAGATCATGTTTCAGCTTTGGTTCCGCTGACTAAACATTTTATCACTGCTAGGGATTACTCATGTGCTATGTTTTGAGATAGTAGATAAAAGTGGCACACATGGTCAGATAGAAGTGTGCCAGTGTGTTTTATGCAATTTGTGTTTCACTTCTTAATTTCTTAACATTCAAGGTATGTTCATGTGTGTGTGTAGGGGGGGGGTCTTCTGTTGAACATATGTGGCATAACAGTAACATAGGACTCCAAGAATAAAGAAATAGAACATAAAGTAAAACCTGTGTATATTGAACATTTTTTTAAAAATTAAAAACATTCATTGTTGCTAGGTATCTACTATAGAGAGGGTAATTTATACAGAAGTCAGTAGAGTATGTGAAGGGGAAAGGTGTTCACTAGAGACAGGTGTTCATTAGAGAGGTGTTCACCAAGACAGGTTTTACTGTATATTCAGCAGTTTTAATTCAACAATTCTGAATATAACGAACAATTCTGGCACAGTTACTACTGATTCAAGTCCATGCGTTTTGTACCTTGAGCTCATATATTATAGAGTAGAATTATAGAGATAGCAATGCCTTTAGGTTCTGATATAATCTCAAGCATTTCTTCACTAAACTTTATTTTTAGACTCTCCAGTAGGACTGCATCTGAAAGTTCTTGTGAATCCATCTAATCTCATTTTGTTGAAACCTTCCTAAATTATTGAGTCTACTAGACATGAGTTTATTTTTTAAGTTCACAAAAACATCATTTATCTCCTTATAATCATGTTAAAAATGAAATGTACATATTTGAGAAGAAAGGCAATGTCAACATTAAGTGGTTAATCAGTCATTTTCAGTAGTCAATGTCGTTGAAATGATACCAAAATTAGCTGACATATGACATATTTGTTGTCTCAATGTTATGTACCTCATGGAGTACTCTCATATTAAACATAGCTGTTTCCTGTGTTTTTAGCGATAAAAAATGTCAACAGTTAATTAGGGATTTTAAAGTTCAAATCAGTGTCTGGAAGATGGAACTCTGGCGCTAGAAATGTGTTATAAACCTAATCATTATTTAAACATGATTTAAACAACATGAGTGATCACCTATAGGCATATAATAGACATCTTTAGATTTTAAGCAATGTTGGTAACCGTTTTTGTCAAGTAAAATAGAATTAGTTTGAATGGCGTAAAGATTATTATAACCAAATAGTTTCAGCTACTCAGTGCACTAACTCTGTGGTTTTGTAAAGAACTGTTAAAGCTATCATAAATCTTTTGTGACATCATGTAGAAAACCACAATATTGTCTTACAACTAGTATCTAATGGAAAGGTGATTTTGGAAAATTAAACAAGACAGCCTGGTTAAAAAAAAAATAATTCTATTTTCAGCATCATCTGAGAGTGAAAGGGGCACAATGGGAACAAGCGCGAGACTTATCTATAGCCCTATGTTTGGAGGCTCTAGCCGTGACCCCAGCTCTGAGAGTATGACGTCATTAATGAGTACAAGCACAACGAACAGTGTCAGCCCACAAAACACCACCCAACGACCACACTCTATCACAAGTGAGTAAAAATTCATAATTTCCCCATGAGTCTTTATTCATAATAAATTCATTAAAAGGGGGAAAAAATTAACTTTAACCCATAATGACTGGCAGACCTTATAATCTCCCAAAATCTTTTTAATTCCTCAGATAGATATTGATAAAAAATGGGTCTTGCATCAAACCCTTGTATATATGTGTTGCCTACACTCCCTCTATTATATCTCCCCATACTATCTAAAACACATGTTGTGGCTGAACAGGTATCGGGGACAATAAACCTGATGCAAGACCAAAAAATATTAGCTAACCAACATTTGGGAAAATTCAATGCAAAGATGAGGTAAAATGGTTAACACCCCAGACCGAGTTCTAACTGGCTAAATTGCAGTGATAACATATTTGCCTCAAACATGAAAGCAATATAAGCAACAAGTTAAAAATAGAGACTTCCGCTGGAGCTTTGATTGTATACTTTAACTCTGTGGTACCCTCTTGGTTTAATATTTCTTCGGATCATCATAATGTTCAATTTATTTTAATTTTTGAATTTAAACAAAATCAGGATTTTCTCAAATGTGAATCTGTCATTTCTATATATTCTGTTGGATTCCCCATCAGTCTATTTCTTCAAACTATAAGCAGATGCTTTTTAGCCTATTTTGTTACTTATCTTACTCTTTTTTAAATTAAGATCTATCCATGTATATTTAAACACTCACTTGCAACTTGGAGCTCTATTATAACAACCTAAAATTGTATCATGGAATTTCACATATCTCCAATCAAAAATCACAATACTATCGGGACAGAGACCCCGAATAACTGTAGTCAGTGTAGCATAAAATAGATTCCAATCGAATCCCCTATGTCAGAAATGGACTCTGAGGATTCTTTGTAATTGCAAGATTCTTGTTTCATCGACTTGAGTATTTATGTATGTGTCTAGACCGAACTTATCTCTATGTACCCTCTACCTCCCACCAATAGGTCAGAAAGGTAAGCGCAATATCTTCAATCTAAGTTACTGCAGTTAACTTTACATTTTTACAATCCATGCTAATCCTTAATTGTCTTTTATAGTTCTGTGGTTTGTCTTCTGGCTAACAAATCATGCTTTATCCCCATTTCCCTGTAGACCAAGTACAATGTATTTGTTTTATGTTCAGTTGCTTTCATATTTTAGTTTTCAGTCCTGATGACTGAGCACTTGTAATCCTTAGTTCATAGTGTTCATTCATTAAATAGGAACAGTTCACCTATTTTTATTTTTTATTTTCATAACTGCATCATTGAGATGACTATTACCCCAGATTTAACAACAATTTTCATTATTAGAACAAAGCTAACAAGTTATGTGTTATTTAGGAATGAAGTGGTGCTTGATCAGGGCTTTTTATGTGGATGAGGCAAGCCAAAATACATAGTAACATCATGTTGTTTTAAGAAACCAGTCCTTCACTTAAACAGTACCATCCTCCTCTCTTTTGTACCCTTCTCTTTGTAGGGGATGCAGGTCTTTAGTAAATTCATGGAAAAGCCTCAAAATAATTTTGATCAATAGCCAAAACACTTAAAGGCTGAAAATGGATCTTTGCTAGCTTTACATCATTGGTATTGATACATTCCTCAATGTAAAATTGTCTCTTGTTTATGTGAAACTTTGGCACAAAAATATTAAACCCCTAAGCAGTCTATGAAGTGGGAAATTGATATTATAGCCTGGTAAGGTAACAAACTGTAACATATAACCACTGTGGTCAGCCGGATGTAACATTATCCAATGTTTGACAGCCATCTACCACAAATATACAAGCTGTCCTAATTGATCACTCAATCATTCATTTTAAATACTCCTGTTTTTATAAACACAAACTGTGAAGGATTTATTAGAATAAACTATTCCAAAACATCTTTTCATAATGAATTTGATGATGAACTGGTAAGAGCAAATGAAATTGAAATTTGAAGCCCTTGGTAACAGTTTTCCTAGTAGTCTATGAGGTACCGAATGAGAGGGGGCTAGTCATGGGAGGTTGTTATGGTAACCACCTTGCTTTTATGTGTTATAACATAAAGTACAATTCATGCATTGTGTTAGTAAATGTACAATAAATTGTAAGACTTAACAGACAATCATTTCAGTGTTTTCATTTTAACATCCTCATAAATATGTTTTTTACATACCGTATGTGTAAGTTAATTGATTTAAAATTTTGTGTACAGTGAAACATGTGTCTGTGAACACAATTTTCTGTTAAGATTTTTTGTCTCATAACTTCCATGTTATGAGAACCTTTTCTCAATGTGAACATTTACAAAGTCAACTTTAAACAATCTGAATATTATTTGAGTAGTGTTCACTTCAGACATTTTCATCAAAACGAAAATATGATTTCTATTATCCATACATAGATTATCAAGACTTTTTAACTGTCTTATTTAACTTTCAGCAACTGCTTTGGGACAGATAGAAGAACTTGGATTATTTGGCAAGAGGAAATCTTCCATAAGACGTTCAGCTAAAGCCAGCCTCGGGAGACCTCCTGATGGAAGAGGTAATTAGGAAAATTATTTCATTTTGTGTCGTGCTTGATCGAGGCTTCAGTGTTCAATTTCCCCCAATAGACCAATAGAAATAAAGATAATTGAAGATGCACAGTCTAAATGATACAGATGGGACACACTCTGATAAGTTAAAAGCTTAATAAATTTATTATTCTCTAGATCATGTCAGATTACATGATTTTTGAAACCTGTATCATTGGTCGGATCCATGGTTTATATATAATCTGGGCCATACTGTATATTACATAGTGTGGATTGACGATAGGGCACCAAAAATGTTATTGAAAACTGTTCCTTCTTGTCTGTTTAATTGACTCCAAGCCACATTTTTCAAAATGAGGTTCACTTTTTAAAAAATCTTTCGAAAATGAGGCTTACTATAAGGCCTAAAATCTAAAAATGGATAAAGAATTCCAGGACTAGACCTGCTACTCATGAAGCAGGCCATACCTTGCACAACTGGCCAGATGTAAGTGGAAAATGATGATTGCAAAAGGAAGTCAGTAATTAAAAGTATGTGTCAAAAGGCTAATTGTACCTTCTGGTGTGTATTTTCTGACCAGTGGCTACTTGTGGAGAGACTGAAATAGATTATTTCCTCTCATGCATCTTTTGTGCTATGGAGTCTGCTGATGTGTGGAGGGCAGAATCCACTCAGCTCTATATCATAGATAGTGGGGAGAATATCATGTACAATGATAGTGGGGAGATTATCATGTACAATAGTGGGGAAAATATCATGTACAAAGATTGTGGGGAGAATATCGTGTACAAAGATAGTGGGGAGAATATCATGTACGATAGTGGGGAGAATATTATGTACAAAGATTGTGGGGAGAATATATCGTGTACAAAGATAGTGGGGAGAATATCATGTATGATAGTAGGGAGAATATCATGTACAAAGAGTGTGAGGAGAATATCATGTACGATAGTGGGGAGAATATCATGTACAAAGATTGTGGGGAGAATACCGTGTACAAAGATAGTGGGGAGAATATCATGTACAATGATAGTGGGGAGAATGTCATGTACGATAGTGGGGAGAATATCATGTACAAAGATTGTGGGGAGAACATAATGTACAAGATAGTGGGGAGAATATCATGTGCAAAGATAGTGGGGAGAATATCATGTGCAAAGATAGTGGGGAGAATATCATGTACAAAGATAGTGGGGAGAATATCATGTACAAAGATAGTGGGGAGAATATCATGTACAAAGATAGTGGAGAGAATGTCATGTACAAAGATAGTGGGGAGAATATCATGTACAAAGATAGTGGGGAGAATATCATGTACAAAGATAGTGGGGAGAATATCATATACAAAGATAGTGAGTAGACAGTGAAGGATCCAGCAGAAAATATCTACTCATCTTTCTTCTTTGTACCCCTCCCCTAACCTATAATCTATAACTATGTGTATACACATTACATGCTGGGATGTGTAGAGAATCCTGACATGAGTCATGTATGAAGATAAACTAGTTGTGTACTTGTGTTACCCCCTCCATCTCTCTCTTAACCAGCCTGGTTTTGAGGAATAAATAGAGGTGTTGAAGGGTGGGGGTGATCAGGGAATTAAAAATGAAAGACTAACCACTCTATCAATAGCTACAAAAATATTTTAAAATATATTATGTATAATTTTTCACATTCTCAATGGATTCTCAATCGGATGATGTAACTTTTTTTAATTCTGGGGGAGATTATTATATTTTTTTCAAAATATTCTATTCATTTGATGGAAGATATATTTAGATTTCAATACAATATAATTGCCAAAGATTTGTAACATTGGAGGCAAGGGAGATTAGACTGAAGAGGAAGTCTAGAATCTTATCATGCTGATGTATCCAAACCTGCCATAGGTCTCACACAGTGTATTAGATACCACAGAAACAAAATAAACAATTAGATTGAAACTTGATGTATCACTGTATAAATTACTTTGGGTTACCTGAGCATCTCAGAGGTTTAAAGGGAACTCATTATATCTTCAAACCATATGTGGATTGATGAACACTCACTTGAGTTGAAGTACAAATGAATTTGTACTGTTCTTAAACATAATGTAAATGTTGAAGAATCAGACTTAATGAGAAGTGGTGACATATTGTTATTATCTCTAACTTTTATGTGGAGGATGTACTGGCATTTTTGGATGACAGTTGGGCAAGTGTAACAAATGGCAGGTGGTGACATTTGGTATCTTAATGCCTTGTATAATATTTACCATTTGGGTATCACGTTGATATTTGATTGGATTACGAGTGAATGTTGATTTGATTAAATTGCAAGTAAATCATTGATTTGTAAACTGTTTTAGCTTCAGTGAGCTTTTCGATAAATCCAAAAATGCAGCGCCATGTGTTTCCCTAAATCCATCTGTTTCCATGTTGTGCCAGAAAAGTACATCTAAATATGCTTCTGTTTGCTTATAGGGAGTCAGCGGGTGGTGCGTACTAATGCATACATGTTTGTGCGCCCACCATCTCGGGGTAGCACCAGATCTGCGCCTGGAGGTCCTAGTGGACCAGGTACAATATAAATCAAATTTGTCTGCTTGGAGATTGTGCATGTGTGTTGTATTATTGTACCCATATAGCCTATAACTAATGGATGGCTTTCCTCAAGCTTCATGATGCCTGTAGCTTTTTCAATATTATTTCTAGCTTCTTCATTTTTAATCAATATTACTGTTGCAGATGCTTTGTGCAGTAGATTTAGAAGAGTCTTATCCTGTCATGTTGTGCTTATCAACAGATTTCCTCTAAGTCACTGGGTTTATTTCAGTTTATTTCTTTCAGTTTTTTTAAAAAAATCTTTTATTATCTTTTTATATGTAGATATGCCGTATAAAATCCTCTCCTTTTGCTTTATCACTTGTTATGTTAAGAGAAATGGGAAACTTGCATCTTGTGTTGTTCAGTGTAGAACATGTTTGTTAAATACATGTACAATAGTTCAAGTGCTTTATACCTTGCTTAGAATATAAAGTGCATGTAGCATTATTTATGCATGGCATGAATCATGATGTAATATTTTATTTTCTTGCATTAGTTGTACTGTGTCAGTTGTTACAATGCAAATAGATTGAAAGATTGTCCAGTTTTTCTACATATACAAACTCATTCTACATATTTCATCATGGCTTTCATGGGAGCTTACTTCCCCTTGCCATCTTGAAAAAAACTCAAATTATACACAAATAAAATTAGGTGTAAATTGTAAGGTACATGTATTATATATCATTTTAAAGATGATTAATCAAGGGACTGTATGGATTAACCAGCAATCAACCAGATCATTACAGATCTGAAATATGATATGATAAGATATTGATATGATATGATATGAGATATTGATATGATATGAGTGTATATATGATTGCAGTGAGGTTTGCTCCCATCAAGCCCCCACAGATACAACTGACTCCCATCAACTTTGAGGTCCCTCATCAAGAAGACACTGCAATATTTCTGGGACGTGAATGGGTCTTCAAGGAAATCGAACAAGTAAGTTACCTTACACTTTGTGAGAGGCTGCGGTTTTTCAATCAATTCTATAATTTATTTATCAGATTATTGTGTGATGAGACAATAAACATTTGGGGTTAAAGTAGTCTTTTAGGGCATTAGTAGCAGATTTCAAGGGTTGTTTGAATAAAATGTATACAAAATTAAAATTAATGTTCTAATTTTCATGTTTTGATCTGAATATCATTCTTTCTAGCCTTTTTACAAATTGTGAATTGATCAGAGTGGGTTGTTTCATGCCACTGATACAAAATGTTTCATATTTGTTACCATCTGCAGGCAGGTGGTGAGATTTTGTCATGTTGATGCCTTTAAGTTATTAATTTCATCTCAATTAGCCTGATACTCGAGAGTACATGATGGTCAATGGGATGTACTATCTGGCAATCAAGTCCTCAATTGAACTTGACTTTTTATCTGCACCATGCACACAGCCATATGTCCCAATGTAATTAATCTACTTTTTCAAAAGTTTATTTGATATCAATTAATTGAATATCAAGAAAACATTAATCACTTGCTCATTGAGTTTAGAGTTTAGTTGTGTGATCATTGAATAGTGTCTCTACAGTCTGAGTGGTGATATCACTTGACAGCTTGATAATATTTATTACTACAAGGTACAGGGTAGTCTTGCATCAAGATCATTATATACCTACCACATTCACTCTCTATCACCTGTGAGGGGTAGGGGAGGGGAGGGGAACAGCACAACAGAGTCTTCATGTAAGACTAAGTACATGTACATGACAATGTAAATGATTGAGGAGACTGGGTGTTCATGTGGTTCAATGGTACAATGAATATTGCCGGTTGTGTTGTCATATTTGCATGTATGGAATGATCAATGCGGGGATCAGCGTCAATCTAAAATGAGTCCAAGCAGTTCATTGGGTGTTTCTTTAGACACTCAGGTTATAAAGACTTCATCGCAATTAATCATGTTTGAATCTGTGGTCTCCAGACCAGGTCATGATGTACCTGTTCATAATTCATCATTAATTTCAAATACTTGACCATCTTGTTGAAATTAGATATATGAGTTATTTTGAAGTGTATGAGGTACATGTATGTTATCCCTCAGAATGGTACCAATATAGAGTTATGTTAAGTTACATACATTATATAGCAATATAAGGGGGGATTTATCAAGATAAATATAAATTATTACTACTTAAAGATATGTTCTATCTTAAATGATATAATGGATTAGGTTCAAAAGTAGTACAGTTATGTACAAGCAGATAAAAGGAGGCGGATAGTATCTTAAAGTCAAGGAGCAAGGTCATTAGGTTACAGTGATTACACCTTTTTATGATATGAATATATGTAAATGTTGCAAAACTTTCATTCATTCATACATTCTTAAGTCTTCAGATTTCATTAAGTCTCTATGATGCTAATGTCCCTGCTGTATTGACAAAAAATAATGTCTTTTCAATATATGTAACACACATCATGCATAAATATGACAATTCTTACAACTTCCAATAACTGGTGGTGACATTTTGTCATGTTAACATTAAATGATTTAATTGATTTAATTCATATTAATAGTTGGTACATTGATCATGGAACAAATAAAGATATATTTTTTAAATTCACACACAGCTCATGAAGACCTCATTTTATACTGCAAACAAGAACCTCGTGTATAACATCACCAACAACTCATTGTGTCCTGGGTTTGAATCCATTATATTCATACAATATTATTTCATGGTTTCAGGAGCTCATTCATACAATGTGTATTTCATGGTTTCAGGAGCTAATTTATACAAATGTGTATTTCATGGTTTCAGGAGCTCATTCATACAATGTGTATTTCATGGTTTCAGGAGCTCATTCAGGAGCCCAAGCATAAAGGAGTGGTGATCATGGGGAATATGGGTTTTGGCAAGACAGCCATTGCTGAACAACTAGTGAACTATAGCTGTTTCGGAGAGGGCCAAAGTGGCCTTGTTATAAATGGAGTTGGACCAGGTATACAAGAATATTAGATCAGTTTTAATTTTATGATGTTTGATATGATATACAGTATATTAATTTGAACTTCTTAGATAACCAAAGAAACAAGAAAACTTTCTGCAATATTTTTCTCTAAAATTGCTTTTTGATTTAATATATTTAAATGGGTTTAAGCTTACCATATTGAACATAGCAAATTCTATATTTAGGGAATAAAATGGCAAATTGTTGCTAAGATTTAAAATACCATCATGGAATATTAAGAAGTTAATATGCTGATTAATTCATACTAGCCCCTTTTTATACAGTATAATGTTTATTACTTTTGAAACACCCTGTAATTGTGTTATAATATGGCAACTTTATTTCAGGTGCTGATAGTTACAGTCACTATGGCAGCAAAGAACATGGCTTGCACAATGGCTTTAGCAGTGTAACAAGCCTCACAAGTCCTGGCAGGGCATACCTCAGTGCCTCAATGTTAAGCCTCAGTTCTGGACTCACCTACGACTCCCTCAAATCTGTGGCGTCTCAAGTCATTGCTTACCATTTTTGCCAAGCAGATAATAACATAACGTGCCTTGTGCCAGAGTTTGTGCACTCAATAGCAGCTTATATCAGTCAGTCACCAAGGATGATCGCTTATAGGAATTTACTCATTCAAGAACCACACCTGCAAAATATTCTCAGTATGAAGGAGTGTTTAGTTGACCCTTCTAAAGCTCTAGTCAAAGGAATTCTCGAACCCCTGAACAATCTCAAACGCGAAGGGAAACTCGATGATGACAGGTGCCTTATTGTGATAGACTCTTTGAATGAGGCAGAGTTCCACAAACCAGATTATGGGGATACAATATCATCATTTCTCGCCAAACATATCGCGAAATTCCCGTCATGGCTCAATGTGATAGTGACTGTTCGGACAATATTATCAGACATCACAAAGTCATTACCGTTCCATCGAATCAGTTTAGACAAGGTGATGATGAATGAGTACATCCATAGGGACTTGCATGAGTATGTTATCTATAGGATTAACACTAGCAAAGAAATCTGTAGCAACATTGCACTCAATGGTCGACTGGACCATGGAACCAAGCTGAAATTTTGCAGTCATGTACAGACACTCTCACGCGGGAGTATGTTATATTGTAAACTAGTACTAGATCTGATAGAACGAGGACAAGTCGTCCTGAAGAGTACTAGCTATAAAATTCTTCCAATTAACCTAACAGAAGTGTTCATGTTACACTTAAAACTGAAATTTCCAAGTTTGAGATCATTTGAGAAAGTGTGTCCCATATTGAACACATGCCTCGCCTCCCTGTATCCTCTAACTCTAACGGAAATATATGAGACAATGAACTCTGGATACATGGAGAGGTATGTCTCGTGGGAGGAGTTCATTCAAAGGATGGATACAGTCTCAAGCTTCCTTGTGCGACGTAGAGACAGCACTTTTATGTTCTTCCACCCAGCTTTTAGGGAGTGGCTGATCAGACGTGATGAGAATGAAAGCACACAGTTCCTATGTGATCTCAGGTAGGAAAGTCAATTTATAACAATTAAAGCGAGCGTTATTACATTGTACAATTGTTATTTCGGTTTTGAAGGAGGATGCGGGATGGAGTTTTCATATTTCTCTCACATCATCCAGATTTGACTAGTTTTGTACAATAAAACACTATTCTTGGTTAAAAATGAAACATGTTAAAATCACAGACTTATATTTCACACACATGTATATCCTATCATATGGGTTATTTCATGAGATCATACCTTTCAATATTTACGAAAAAATGAATTTCATTTTATTTGAATTAATTCAATTTTACAAATTGAAATATTGACTTTCATTCCAGTTTCAATATTCAATATTTACCTTGAAATGAATCTTGCTCTTACACTCTTTCCAAAGATTTATTCTCTACATATGCATACAAAACAGCTGTATCAAACTTCCTAGTAACAAATAATGAAATAATGAAAATGTTGGATGATTATAGATACTACTAGATATAATCCTTTGTACAGGATGACCCAAAACATAACCCATAAATCTTATTAAATAAAAGTAATGGGTTCCACTTTTTGGGTCATGTACAATACGGTATACATACATATTTCAATGTTTTGCTGTTTCAGACAAGGTCATGCTCTACTGTCATTCAAGCTATCTCGTGTGAGTGCCCCATTGAATCCAGACCGTACCCTAGAGTTGGGGCACCATATCTTGAAGGCGCACATCTACAAGACAGTCAGCAAACAGCTGGGCTACTCCTCCAGGGATATGCAGGCCTACTGGATGTGTCTCAGCTCTGATAGCCTCAGTGGATCCCTGGTCTCTCAGAGAAATCTATACTCCCCTAATGTAAAGGTATGTAGCTGGCTTTTTCATGAAGGTAGAAATTTACATATTTGGGGAGGTAGGCTCCCATGGGGCAAGGTAAAATATGCACATTTTCATCTTGTTTATAATCCTTTAATTGTGGATGTGAAGAATTTTCTATTTTGTGGGTTAATAAATGGGGTTTAAAAAAACCTGAAATAATGTAAGATGTGAGAAACAGCTCTCAAATTATTTGTCTAATAAGCCATTTAGCATAGTGAGTAAATTCTGTGTTTCTAAGATAAAAAGATCTGCATTTGACCAGCATTTCCTGTCTGTTTAACTTTACAGGAAAATGATTGATATGATTAATATTGACTCTTGATTTTCCACCAAAAAGACTTATATACAGAATTAGTGCACACTGGCTGCATCTTTATAGCTTTATCTTAAAAGCACTCTGTACTGTGGTAAATAAAACCATCCCCTGAAGGCCACTGCTCTTGCAATCCAATAAATAGAAAATTACAGGGATGAAGGATCATTACATGGCTTATAAAAATATTAATGGAATGTCAGTATTTTCTAGAATCTTAGATTCAAGTTGATCAACATTCATGAATTTTTTTTTCTCAAATATCTGTATATTTGTGACTTTTGGCTGTTGTTTCACAAGGGTATTGTGATGTTTTACACCAAGAAACATGCTTTTTTGGTGGATCTGCAGACACTGAGTCTGTTCATGATCACTTAGCACAGGATGCTTGATCCAATTGAGTGCTTACATATACCTACCTGATGTACCCAGGCAGTTTAATGCTGAAGATTTATGGCTAAGCAACCCTTTGAAAAAGTTTTCATCTCAAAAGAGGGCTTCAGTAGGATGGTAGTTCTGGCCTCTAGGTTTCAGTGTACTCTATCGCTTGGATTATACTTTCTTTACTTTATTTCATCACGATCAACTATTCTTCAAGATAATGTAAAATATGTAAGAGTAAATAGATAGTCAAAATTACACATTTGCATAATATGAATACATGTAGTAAAATCTGTACAATTAACAATTATCTCTACAATGAATGATCCTGGGTTTCATAAGAAGTGTAACTTCATTATAAAATATTGTATGTATATTGTACATAGAGTTGAGTTGATGAGTCTTTATTTTGTTAATATAGCAATGAAAATCTTCAATTATATTACAGTTATAGCAGTACCAATTGAACACTTTGAATTTGATACGATTGATCATAAAAAGTATACTGTTTATATTTGTTGTAGGTGAGTCGTCTGATCCTGTTGTCTGGTGCTAACCCCAACTCCCCCACTGACCACCTCAACAATGCCCCAGTCCTATGCACCATGGCCCAACAAGGCTTCACTGACATGTTGTCCCTACTGCTGGAGTTCAGTGCTGATGTAGATGCTGCAGGAGATGATGGCATGACTGCACTCTGCTATGCTGCCCAGAATGGACATCTTGAAATACTTAGGATGCTCATTGCAAAGCAAGCACAGGTAAATACAGGGTTAGCCAAAAATTGTAAAGTTTGCAAAACAAGCACAGGTGGATACATGCTGGGCTGATAAATGTGTGGATTCTGTACACTAAACACACATTCACAAATTCGAGCTATAACAAAATCAGAAAATGATAATGGAGAGTTATGATAATAAAATTGACTAATAAGGGAGAGTTTCGTGCAATATTAGTTTACATGTTTGTCACACATTTTAAATAAAATGTATTTAGTAATAAATTGATCAGTCAAGTTTTACGCATAGATACATGTACTGTATGTACACTATTAATTTATGTTTTCATGCATTATATAGACAAAATATGTTCTTTCCAGTTGAGTCATGTCGACAGTAGTGGCCAATGTGCGCTGGTCCATGCAGCTCTGAATGGCCAACTAGAGGCTGTCAGTTTCCTACTTGGCTGTGATTGGCTACCGAAAGATGGAAATAGCCTCAGTAAATGTGAAGCCATGCAGCAAGCGCTTGTGGCTGCTTCAGGAATGGGACATGTTGAAATGGTTGACTACATGCTTGAGAAGATAGAGGAGCACTCTAGGGAAGGATATGGCATGGACAGGACTGATACGCTCATGGGAGAAACAGGTAGGAGACCAAGTTGTCGAACATCAAGCTCCTGAATCCCTCATGTTCTCTTGTGTCAAGCTCATGGATCCCTCATATTTGTTTTACCCAGCCTAATACCTTAATATAATTTAGAGTATTATGTCAGACTTAACCCTTAATTCACATGTTTATATGTGCAGTGTTAATTGACCAGTATTTCAGTTCTAAATATAAACACGATTAGTTGCTTTTTTATTAACTCCTGTGTTGTCAGAACCTCTTTATTAACTGCTCATATTTTATTTATCCAGCGTTTACTGCAGCCTGTGTGAATGGTAAGAAAGATGTTGTGAACCTGCTCATAGATCGAGGTATCAACATAGACCAGGTGAACTCCAAGACCATGCCTCCCCTGCTCTGTGCCACCAAGGCTGGCGAGTGGGAAATTGTGGACACCATCATCAACATGGGAGCCAGTGTAGAACAGACTGACAGACATGGGAGAACGGCAATGATGATAGCTGCCAGTGAGGGCCATGTGGTTGTCCTTGATATGCTACTCAATAAAGGTACATTACCTATAAAGTACTTGTGAAGGAAATTAGTCTACCTCATTTAAAAATCAAAATGAGATTTTTTAAAACTAACTATCTCTGACGTTAGAAGGTAAATTGTACACATATTGTTTGATAAAAGTGTCAAAAGCAGCTATGATGAAAACAAAACAACATTTTACAGATTGTATGACTAATACAATATTATTACTCTTATCTTATACATCATTATGTCAAATACTCCATGTGAGAATTTGTTGTATACGTTCATCTATATGTTTCAGGTGGGTCAGTGATTGCTATGGACAAGGAGGGGTTGACTCCCCTGTGTTGGGCATGTCTAAAGGGCCATCAACACTGTGTACAATCCCTGCTGGAGAGGGGGTCATACCTGGACCATATGGACAAGAGTGGTAGGACTCCCCTGGACTTGGCAGCCTTCTATGGAGACCCACAAGTGGTATGTGTACACATTGATTCATGTTTTAGTAGTAAATGTACGTTGTATCTTAAAAGTAGTAAGATTAAAGAATGTAGGTAGAATATACATTGTCTGTAATTTGGTAATCAATATGAATATTAAAAACAATAAAGTCACTTACTAAGTAAGGTCCATCTCTCTGTGATGTATTTATGCTTTACAGTAATCAATATGTTCTTTTATCTTGTTTATTATTATGATATTATACTTTAATTATATGTCTATCTATTTCTTTAGGTGCAATACTTGATAGAGCAGGGTGCAGCCATAGAACACACAGACTACAATGGCATGAGGCCTTTGGATCGAGCCATAGGCTGCCGCAATACCCAGGTGATCATATGCTTCCTACGCAAAGGTGCTAAACTAGGTCAGGCCACATGGGCCATGGCACATGACAAACCAGACGTGATGCTGTTACTGCTGAACAAACTCATGGAAGATGGCAATATTCTTTACAAGGTATGTAGCAGTGATAAAGACTCTGTTTGTTCTTTACAAGGTATGCAGCAGTGATAAAGACTCTGTTTGTTTCTGTTGAACCTTCTCATGTACTGGTATAAAGAAAATGAAAGTATTGGTTACCTCATTGCCATTAATTGTGTCACCACCAAGAAGTGTTGACATAATATTATTGCCACTGTTTTTTTGTGACCAAGTTCAAAACCTTTTCACATATGTACGGGAAACTCATTACAAATATTAAATCTTTGTCAAATGATAACCATGGTAAAATACTTAATTAAATATGAGATTATGTCTACAATGTTATTCATTGGTATTTGCAGAAAAACCGCCTTAAGGAAGCAGCCCACAGATACCAATATGCCCTGAAGAAGTTCCCAAAGGACGGCTTTGGAGAGGACATCCGTACCTTCAAGGAGTTGAAGGTGAACTTGTTCCTGAACCTGTCCCGCTGCAAGAGGAAGTTACAGGAGTATCTACCTGCTGTAGACCTGGCTACCAAGGCCCTGGAACTGAAACCAAAGTCTTTCGAGTCCTATTATGCAAGAGCTAGGGCCAGGAGGGACAATAGGTAAGAAAGTTCACATTTAAAGTAGATCTCAAAGTAAAGATAAAATATAAGACTGCAGCACTGTTGAGTTGCTATAGCCTGCAAGGGATATCAGTGTTAAAGGGCAAGGAAAACTGAATGAGACACTTACGCTATATTTGCTACCAAAGTACTTCATTGGCTACAATCTTTCTGCTTTATAATCAACAACATATGATTTTCATTAATATTTTAGCTCTGTTATACTGTATTCAATATTGAGGTTTAAGATGCTCAGTTTAATATGACAATGATTGTATTTCAGGCAATTTAGTGAGGCCTTACAAGACTTAATAGACGCCCTGAAGCTGGCCCCTCAGAACAGGGAACTAAGGCGGTTGCTAGCCAGAGTGAAGGAGGAATGTAAGACCCAGAGTAAGATTGAGCACAATGGCTCACTCACCTCTCTAGCCATTAAGGACAGTGGTGTGAAAATGGAGGTGTGTGAAAGACCTCCTTTGCCAGTTGACAGTAGGAGAGAGGAAACGGCCTTATGACATAAGTCAAATAACAGCTGAACAAAACACAGCTGTTTGTAGTCTATGTAATTAACAGCTGAGTGAGGATCACATTAAGGAGAACCTGACTATTTGAAACCAGTTTCTCTCAACCTTGAGTGTAATAGGGAGATAGATAGGGGGTTTACCTCCCTAAACATTAGAATAGTCCCTGTTGTGTTGGCAGATGAACACTTCAATTATAATCACATGTATATGTGTGGAAACTAGAAAGGAGTTGAACATGTATTTAAATAGAAAGGACTTGTTTAACAATTTGGGGTGTACAAATGTACATGTACAAATATTCAAAGGAGTATACAGTACATGTACGTGTAGCATGTACATATTGGATATAGAAGGAATTGTACACTTGCAGTTGTGTATTTTGTTGTACACATATTCGCAAATGACACTTAAGCAAGAATTTAATATGTGTTCATGGAGGACATGTTGCACATCCTGAGTTGTAAATGTATTAAAACTACAGTAGAAAGGAGTTGGGAGTGTATGCGCTAAAACTAGAAAATTCTATTCAAACTAGAACTAGAAAATTGTATCCAAACTACAGTAGGACATTCTGATACTCATTGCATCTTTCTGTTTCACCTGAAATATCCCAGGGTTGAGAAGAAATGAGATGTCAAAGTTTATCATGATGACAGTAGGATATCAATTATATTCAATGGGGTGGAAAGCTGAGGTGATCTGCATTCAGTCTTGGAATTATTTAAATGATAAAAATCTCTGAGTGGAATAAATTGTACATCATATTTAAAGACAAATTAAACGATTATTGATTGATGGAGACATAGATATTCACCTATATTTTCACTTCTATTGTCCTAACAGATTTGTTTCAAGAGACTTTCCCAATCATGTTTAAGATTTTAGTGTCAGTTCTACCCATGATGTTTCAAAGTACATCGTATGTTATTTGTACTGTATATGGATATTTGCATTGTAGAATCCCTGAATTCTACCAAAGTTTCGTCATGTCTATTAAAATTTCCTTAATTACTTAAAAAAGTTATGATAGATCATCATAGTTTCAAAATGTATTCAATATTCTAGATGAGATACATGAACATGTATGTTAAAAGGTATAGATATTTGTTTGGTAATACCTTGTACATATTGCTTTTTCTACATTTGCATAATTCATCATTTCATATGTTAATTGTAGGTCATCATTTTAATTTATCGTTATGTATCATTTTAGTTAGAAGATTTTATTTAAATTGTCCTTATTTGTTTCTGCTTCAAGCACAGACTATAGGAGATAACTGAAAATGTTGTCTTCGTGTACAGTATATATATTTGAGACATCAAATGTTTTATATATTAAGTTTGTAATATTATAGATCCTTATTTAATTAAGTGCAGTTTTTAGTTCTACTACAGCTGTATAGGTGTAGCCACTAGACAACATGGTTGCTAAGGTGATTGAATGTAATTATTGGAACAAGCTTTTATTCCATATATTTTATGATGGAAGAGTTTTATACAATGGCAATAAAAGAAAAAAGATAAAAACAATTGTTTGTTCATTAGAGCTTGTATAGAGAGGATAGTCAGTAGATATAACGGAACAGTTGAAATCATACACATATACGCATATAACGCCATAGCGAACTCTCAAAAAGAAAACAGTTGTTTTTTATATTGATTTGTCCAACACTTTAAAAATGGATAAAAATGGCCAACAATTTACATTTTATTAGTCCATAATATTCGGAATTCGTATTTCAAAACGCCCCAGATCGCTTCAAATGCTATCTCATTTTCAAATTTTTAGGGAGGATCCCCCCGAACCCCCTTCAAAACACGTTCATTTCGCTCACTCGTGGCGTACACTCACAAAATACCCACGCTACGCCACTGATACATATATTTAAATAGAATAAAAATCCTATATCTCTCTTTGTTTATTAGGAGGCCCCCCGACAGGGGGCCTCCTATAGATTTTATAGATATTATTTATTCTTTATTCTTTATTAGGAGGCCCCATCGGGGGGCCTCCTATCAATTTTGTAGATATTATTATTCTTTATTAGACTCCAGATTTCATCTGGAGTCTATTGCTTTTGCCAGTTTTCTTATTATTAGACTCCAGATTGAAAATCTGGAGTCTATTGCTTTTGCCAGTTTTATTATTATTAGACTCCAGATGAAATCTGGAGTCTATTGTTTTCGTCAGTTTTCTTATTCTTCTTATTATTCTTTTTATTCTTATTCTAACCCAGTTTTCTCAATAACCATAAGGTTTTCAGTAAAGTCAGTCATTTGGTCAATTTAGGTCCAGAATCTAGTTCCTCGGAAATTGGGTCAAATTTTTATCTAGGTCAAAGGTCGAGAACTAGGTCAAATCCAGTACTTTGTCACTTTTTGCGATTTTCTCGGTCGTCCTTCAATATTTTCGATCCGGTTTTTTTTCATTGAGTTCCTTATAAAAAAGTAGAAAATCTAGGGTCGATTTAATTTTTTGATATCTCAAACTGATTTCGAGATATCAGTGTCCGAAAACGAGGTCCAAAAAAAAGTTCTCCGAATTAAATGTCCAGGATATTAGTCTTATAGGAAATTTTCTCAGAATTCCGAATCTGAAAACGAGATTTTATTGAAGTGAAAAATACGAAATATAGACTGAGTTCAGCTAAATATAATGAAAGCTTTTAAAAGAATGGGACCTCAAAAGCCATCTAGCTTTAAAATTTGGACACCAAAATGCCTAGGTCAAAATCTAGGTCAAATTCAAAGTTTTTCCTTATTTTTGCGATTCTGACACTACAGATTAATTATATTCTTCGAAATTTTGTATACATGTAGCCAAGAGTATGCTTATAGTGTGAGCCTTTTGCCGTCAGAAAGTATTTTGCCCCACTTTTGAGATATGGTGTCCGAAAAGTAGGTCAAAATAAAAAATTCTCCAAATTTAACGTGTGAGTTATGAACTAAGTATAGAATTTTCCCAGGAATCCGAATCTGCAAACCAAATTTCGATCCGACTTCCGGTTCGGAAGAAATGTCATTTTGAAAGCTCAAAAATCGCTAAATTTGGTGCCCCATGTTATGTCAATGGGAAAAAAGTTTTTTTTTGAAGTGTAAAATACGAGATATAGACTAAGTACAGCTTAAAATAATGAAAGCCTATGAAAGAAGGGAACCTCGAAGGCTACCTAACTTCAAAATTTGGACACCAAAATCCCTAGGTCAAAATCTAGGTCAAATTCATAGTTTATCCTTATTTTTGCGATTCTGACACTACACTTTAATTATATTCCTCAAAATTGTGTATACATGTAGCCAAGAGTGTACTAATAGCGTTAGCCTTTTGCCGTCAGAAAGTATTTTGACCCACTTTTGAGATATGGTATCCGAAAAGTAGGTCAAAATAAAAAGTTCTCCAAATTTAACGTTTGAGTTATGAATTTAGAATAAAATTTTCTCAGAAATCCGAATCTGCAAACTAAATTTCAATCCGACTTCCGGTTTCGAAGTTATGGCGTGTCCGAAAAGTGGGTCAAAATAAAAATTCGCCAAATTTAATGTTTGCGTTATGAATTAGAGGTAGAATTTTGTCAGGAATCCGAATCTGCAAATCAAATTTCGATCCGACTTCCGGTTCGGAAGTTATGGCGTTTTTGAATTTCAAGAAAAATCGATCTGATGGTATCCTGATAGAAAGTCAAGAATAGAGAAGAAAATATTGAAAATACATCCATCCTTCCTTTCTGATCCTATCCTATCCTTCCTATCTACCCTTGCTTCGTATCCTCTCCTTCCTATTCTATCCCTTCTTCCTATTCTATTCTATCCTTCTTTCCTATTCTATCCTATCGTTCCTTCCTATTCTATCCTATCCTTCCTTTTTTTATCCATCCATCCATCCATCCATCCATCTTTCTTTTTCTTAATGACTTAGCTTATTTTGGATGACTTGGTTTATTCTGGATGACTCGGCTAAAAAAAGTCTAGATCTGGAGTCTGAAATTGAACGAGTTCAATTTCCAAAATCTAGTTATTATTATTATTCTTTCCGAACCAGTTTTCTCAGCAACTAGAAGGGCTTACTTAAATCTGCTAACATAGTCAACTAGGTAATGATACCTAGTTTCTGGGAAATTATGTCAAATGATTATCTAGGTCAAAGGTCAAGAACTAGGTCAAATCGTGGGTTTTCACTATTTTACAAGTTTTCTCAGTCGTCCTTCGGTATTTTTGCTCCTGGTTTTTTTCATCATGTTCCTTAGATAAAAAGCTAATTCCGTAAGGCAAATCGTTTTTTGATTACTCTTACCGATTTTGAGAAATGACGTCCGAAAAGTAGGTCAGAACATAAAAAGTTCTCCAAATTCAACGTGTGAATCATCAAATAAGTGTAGAATTATCTCAGGAATCCGAATCTGCAAACCAAATTTCGATCCGACTTCCGGTTCGGAAGTAATAGCGTTTCGAAATCTCAAAAATCGCTAAATTTGGTGCCCATGTTAAGTCAATGGGAAAAAAGATTTTTTTGAAGTGATAAATACGAAATATAGACTTAGCTCAGCTTAATATAATGAATGCCTATAAAAGAAGGTGACCTCAAAAGTTATATCGCTTCAAAATTTGGACACCAAAATGCCTAGGTCAAAATCTAGGTCAAATTTATAGTTTTTCCTTATTTTTACGATTCTGACACTACACTTTAATAATTTGCTTCAAAATTTTGCATACATGTAGCAAAGAGTGTGCTAATAGTGTTAGCCTTTTGCCGTCAGAAAGTATTTTGACCCATTTTTGAGATATGGTGTCCAAAATGTAGGTCAAAATAAAAAGTTCTCAAAATTTAACGTATGAGTTATGAATTAAGGGTAGAATTTTCTCAGGAATCCAAATCTGCAAACCAAATTTCAATCCGACTATTGGTTCGGAAGTTATGGCGTTTTGAAAGCTAAAAAATCGCTAAATTTGGTGCCCCATGTTATGGCAATGGGAAAAAAGATTTTTTGAAGTGTAAAATACGAGATATAGACTGAGTACAGCTTCAAACAATGAAAGCCTACAAAAGAAACGGACCTCAAAAGCTATCTAGCTTCAAAATTTGGACACCAAAATGCCTAGGGTCAATATCTAGGTCATATTCATAGTTTTACCTTATTTTTGCGATTCTGACATTACACTTTAATGATTTGCTTTGAAATTTTGTATACATGTAGCAAAGAGTGTGCTAATAGTGTTAGCCTTTTGCCGTCAGGAAGTATTTTGACCCACTTTTGAGATATGGTGTCCGTAAAGAAATTTCTCATAATTTAACTTATGAGTTATGAATTAAGGGTAGAATTTTCTCAGGAATCCGAATCTGCAAATCAAATTTCAATCCGACTTTTCGTTGGGAAGTTATGGCGTTTTGAAAGCTCAAAAATCGCTAATTTTGGTGCCCAATGTTATGTCAATGAGAAAAAAGATTTTTTTGAAGTGTATAATTCCAGATAAAGACTGAGTACAGCTTAAGATTCT